GACACACACACACACACACACACAGACACACACACACACACACACACACACACAGACACACACACACACACACCTGTTCTTACCCACGATGCTGTCGAAGAAGGCGGCCCTCAGGTGCCAGTCGTTCTTGTCGTTCAGGAAGGTGATCATGTGGGAGAGCAGGACGTCGTTGGCTTTCTGTCTGCCGAAGAACACGCAGAGACGAGTGATGCCGTTCTCCATCAGGGACTGTTTGACGATGTTCTCAGAGTCACTGAGCAGAGTCACCACCTTCTGCTGCACCATCTCATGCAGCGCCTGCAGCTCTGCAGCACAACAACAAGATGAAACAGGTTGAACCTGCAGCTCCTGTGAATATGTCTGAGGTCTTCTTACCTGAGTCGTAGTTCTCGTTGGGGTGGTTGTTTTCTTCTGTATCCTCAGCACTCAGGTCCTGCTCCGTGTTCACGTTGTTCTCCTGAACCAGCTCCAGGAAGCGCAGTGCGCTCTCCGCCAGGTGGGCGATGTTTTCTGAGCATGGGCACAGAGAGGACAGGTGAGCAGCAGCAGCCGGTCCGCTTCAAACAGCTTTACCTAAAGCTGCTGACCTGCGTACGCCAGCCTGACGATGGTGGCGTCGTCCTGAGCCAGGTGAGCGATGCCCGGCAGGATGTACTCAGGGTAGATGTTCACGTCGTTCCTCGGCACCTCCTTCACCAGCGCCAGCACCTTGGTGAGAGTGCGCACAGCCTGAGCGCGCACGCGGGGCACGGGGTCGTTGCAGAAGTGCAGCAGGTAGGGCGTGATGCGGTCCAACAGGATGTCCACGCTGAGCCGTGGAGCCAGGTGCAGGATGAGCTCCAACGCCGCCAGCTTGGAGTCGCAGGAGTGCAGCGTCTGCAGACAGGAAGTGATGACGGACACCAGCACCACCAGGCCCTGCTCCTCCCTGCAGCTCAGCACACCTTCGTCATCGTCGTCTTGAGATGAAGAGGAGGAGGAGCCTGAGGAGAGACGAGTCGTCAGCAAACAGATTCTTAAAGGACGAGCCTCCTCCAGGTGTCAGAAGCCCCGCCCCCCTGCCTCACCTCCTCGCAGGTTGTGCAGGATGTTGTCCAGGTCTTTGCGGATGACCAGCACCCTCTCGTCTGCAGACTGGAAGGTCTCCTTGGCGAACTGAGCCATGTACGGCTGCAGGAAGGTGTAGAAGATGTCAGGGAAGGCCTTCCCTCTCTGCTGCTTCAGGTACTCCTCTGCAGTCAGACGCCTCTCCGGCTCCCGCTGGACCATCTGAGCCACCTGAGGACAGCAGACGGTTCAACACCTGAGCTTTACTCCATCATTAACCATCAGAGACAGGAGTAACATTTATTCTTATTTTTATCGTGTTAATGGAGGAAGTAAAGGCAGTATCGGCTGCACGTATCTGTTAGACTGATGTTAAAATAATCTGCATCAGTGGGTCTGCAGAGAGCAGGTCCACAGGTCCACAGGTCCACAGGTCCACAGGTCCACAGGTCTGCAGCTGCAGCTTACCAGCTCTCTGATGCTCCGGTCCTCGATCTTCAGGAGGACCTGCTCCACCTGGAAGTGACCTTTCCGATACGCCAGCAGCTGGGACAGGTCGAAGAGAGGCACGCCCTCCATGAACAGCTCTGCCACCACGCAGCCTGCAGACACAAACACACCTGATGACGCTGCTCAGCACCTGCACAGTCCCTGTCCAGGTGCGTGCACACCTGCAGAGAAGATGTCCATGGCCTGCCGCAGCTCTCCTCTGCTCCTCTGGTTGTTGTTGGTCAGGTCCACCAGCGGCGTGTTCTGGTCGCTCTCCGAGGTGAACATGCTCCCGTCCACAAACCTCTCGGGGGCGATGTAGCAGGTGCGGCGCCGGGACGTGTCGAAGAAGTAGTTGAAGTCGGCGGGGTTGTCCTCCGGCAGGTAGGTGGGCTTGAAGCTGGCGAAGTCGGTGAGCAGGACCCAGTTCCAGCTGGTCACCATCACGTTCTCCGTCTTGATGTCCCCGTGGCGCACGCCGGCCTTGTGCGCCTGGTCCACGGCGTTGAGGATCTGGAAGGCGATCCAGCGCTTCTCCACGCTGTTGAGGAAGGGTCGGGTGCTGATGCGGTCGTACAGGTTGTCCCGGACGTACTGCCGGAACAGGATGGCAGCTTTCTCCATCAGCGAGGTCTTCTGGAAGGGCAGGCAGTTCTGGCAGGAGTGCAGACGGATCTTCAGCTCCTCCAGCTCCTGCTTGTAGGCCGTCAGCGGCAGCGACGGGTCCTGGATGGCGAAGACCTTGACCACCACCAGGCCCTCCCGGTGCTTGGCCCGGGCCACCTTGAAGAATCGAGTGCTGCCCAGGCTTTTATCGTACTCGTGGTCGTGGATGTCTGAGAAATAACTGTCCACAGACAGGATCTGAGAGGGGGCGATGCCCGCCAGCTGGTTCCCCATCACGCCTCACAGCGTCTGGAAGAAGACAGGTTCACAAAGGAACAGTGTTTCCCTGAAAACATCCCTGAACTCACAGACACTGACTCTACAGTCAGCTAGAGACTCACTGTGGTACTGTATGTACATACTGTGGTACTGTATGTGCATACTGTGGTACTGTATGTACATACTGTGGTACTGTATGT